TGCATGCATAAAAATAACAGATAATTCATATTCACGAAATTCTTACTCTACATCTTTTTCAAGTTTTTACTTTGTTAAGTCTTTTACTATAGTAATTAAAAACGTTTTATATCATTTTAAACAATAATACTCTCTATCTAACAGAATTAGATTTTTATTAGCTTTTTTTATATTGTTTTTATTTTCTTTGATTCTTTACTTGGAACTTTACAAATGACAAAACAAAAATAAGTTAGTTCGTTATCGTTTTTCGATGGTTACGTATCTCTACTCTTCCTCGGAAAAAAGAAATAAACAAGAATAAAATAAACGTAGTTTTGTAGCTGTCTCTTCTTCTCAAAGTCGAAATAAAATTATACCGGTAGGAGGATGTGATGGTGTTTTTAAAAGAAACAAAAACGAGCTCGATCGTTACTCTACGACCATTATCTCAACCCTCGGAGCTCAGGGGTAGTGTGTAAAAAATACTCGAGTACGTAACTTAACTTGAATAGAATAGCGCTTTGTTATAAAACAAAAATAGAAAATACTTATTTGGCTCGTTTCTTTTTCGATCCCTTGTATTATTTCAAAGTATAATAAAATAAAAAACAAAACGAAAAGAGAATATACGTGCATTGGTAATTATGATACTGGCCTAAGATAAAAGATTATACAAACATTTATTTGATGATTTACTTTTTTTTTTTTATAATTGTCTTTATTATTCTCCCTTTTACGAGTTTTATGGGATTCCTGTTGCCTTTATAATCGTTTAACATGAATTATTAAATCTATCTGTATTGCTATACTACTTAATTGATGATTTATTTAATAATATAGAAATAATTTTAATATTATACAAATAATAATATTTATTTTTTCAATTTTTTCACTAATAATAAAATAGGAAAATAGTTAAAGTAGAGAATAATTGTAAATATTAGTAAAACTGCTAAGTTTTCATTCTAACAAATAATAACTTTGTTGTTAATTTATTTTGGAAATAAAATATACATAGCCAGAAAAAATATTAAAGCATTGTATTTAAATAGTACGAGCCAAGCTTCCACATGTGGTCAGATTTTTTAAGTAGCACGAAGCAGATCTCCATATATGCTCAGACATTTTAAGTAGCACGAGTCAGCTGTTCATGTACGATCATAAATTTTTAAGTAGAACGAACTTAAAATCCTTATATGTTAAGACATTTTTAAGTAGTACGAGTCAAGTGTTCATAAATGATCAATTATTAATATATAAAAGTTTATATAATAAACATAATTTTCAATATTTTGTTAAATATTTGATAGGATTAAATTGACCTTATATATATATTATCAATTCGAATTTATTATTAATTATCTCTCGATCGTAATCGTAAAATACTTGTTTAAATAATCTTTAAATGTAAATCGTATTAAATTTACTTTAGAAACGACGAAACAGTTGAAGCTATTAAATTTTTGTTTTATATCATAAAAATCCTCTTTATTTTACGAGGTCGAATTTTTAGTCATAGGTAAAGTTTATGCGATAAACACATAATTTAACGATTCAATTGATGGCCAAGTAACCGAAGCGTGTAGATGATAAATACTTTTAATCGAATGAATGAGAATAATTGTTTAGTTTAAAGCAACTTACTAACCCATGGGTTAACCGAAATTCTAAAAATACGCTGTTTTTTTATCAAATTTATTGTTCTATCAAATTGATTGTGTGATGTTTATTCCGATAATGAATTAATCTTATCTCAGAACGATCAATATCATTGCAGAAATTTAGATAATTATTTTCATAAAACATTGGATACCTATAAAAGCATTTGTTTAATCTTTAAATAATTTTAAAAATGTGTAATTAATCGCGTTAAAGTACTCTTAAATGTATCCATTTAATCGAGTTCAATATTTTCTACCACTTTTCCAATGTTTAAATATTTTATTTTGTATCAGATTCATATTTTAATGTACCGTCCATATTTTGTATTCCAAATATTTACTCTCCAATCACATTTGTTTTTACCTATTGAAAATACACACACACACACACACACACACACACACACGATACTTTTGAAATACTTATTATAATTAAATAATTACATTTTACACATATTTGCAATATGAACAAATAGATCATTTCAAAAGATATTTCATTTTTCAATTTGATTAAAAAATTATTCTAATAAAACCTTCTATCCCATTCTTTCTATACGTCATTTTATTTTAATCGAATACAATCAAATTATTTTCTAATATATATTATACAACGAATTAATATTGACAGATAAATAGATGCAAGTGTCAACAATATATAACTTTAAAAACTTTAAAAAATATGTGTTTACGTATTTCCTGTGATATTAATAAAGGACGAAATGGTGTGTAAAAAATTTATGAACGGGGTTTAACATGCTCGATGTATTTTTCTTTACGAATTTGAAACAAGTTCTATGGATTATCAAGTTTATAAAGCTTGAGTACTGTGTGTGAATGAATGAGAAAAAGAAAGAGAGAGAAAAAGAGAGAGAAACTTTACTGTTCTTAGCACGTCCGACCGGTTGACTGTAATCACTGAATTCGTTTTACTACTTTCAACTTTTCATGTTGGTTCAAGGAACGGGTTAGCGCACGAGCGAACGCGATCTTGCGAGTCGAGACATTCATGTTATGAAGTTATGTAAATGTCGCGTGCTACTTATTCAATTTGCTTTGACTATTTGTGGTCATTTTTCCAGACCAAGAATATAATCAACGAAGAAAACGACTACCTTTGATTACATTCAAAGTATGCAACAAACCTAACAAAAATACCCTACGTATTACTTCTTGTCATTTTTTTTTCTTTATTCCACAATAAAAAAAGGTTCATTGATAGTTTTTTCGTTACTTGACATATTCAAATTTTTCTCTGACCGAACACGCAATTGTCCTGAAATTTTAATGTAACATCATTATTGGGTTGTTTTTTCTGTGGTTAGGTTAATGATAAATTAATTAAGTAAATAATTGTGAGAGTTAAGAAAGTAAAACAAACATTTGTTTCATTATTTTTCTCAAAGTAACGGAACAGTTAACAAATTCTGAAATTTAAATGCTGTGTGTGTGTGTGGTTCGGTTGTTATTATGGGATAATGTAATCATTAATTAATTAAGTAAATAATTGTGTGAGAGTTAAGAAAAGTAAAAGAAACATTTGTTTCTCAATTTCTCTCGAAGAAATTCTTTTCTTATTTCTTTAATTTTTTTCACTTAATTATTTTCTTTCTATTCAAATTTCTGATTGATACAAATATCCTTACGAATATTTTTTCAAGATCATTTTAATTACTTCCTACAAGGAGGAAATAAATTTCGCATATTCAACAACACGGAATATTTTTCCAACAACAGGAGCATCAACGAATCGCAAATGTTTTCCATGCATTTCCTCGCATAAACTCTTCCTTATAAAATCGAAACAAAGAAGAGGTTAGAGAAAGGGGATGGGCCATTCTTCTCATACTTCCAATTTCCTGAATCTATAACCCAGAAATGGAACGATCGTTATGTTATCACAATTCGTTGCACGCACTCGGGTTGTCCCGATTATCCAAATATCGATCCACTATATTAAACTTTATCGAAATATACCAGACACATTCAAACTAATAATCACTGATTCTAAACATTATCCTACCAAAAAGATGTATTTTCACCTTTACTCATGTCTATTACATCAATAAGTAACGAAGAAAAAATTAATTATAATAATAATATAGTGTAACGAATAATTAATAGAATTTAATATAATTATTATTATAATTATATATTATATATCCTAATATACACATATAGGATAAATTACTAAATAAATTAATTGATTTTATTAAGCAAGTTAATAAATATTATATGTA